CACACAAGCACCCTGGCATGCATGTACACACACACACACACACACACACACACACACACACTACACAAGGAAATGTAAAGAAACACATCTTAAAAGAAAATTAGTAAATAGGTAAATAAACTGCTTACAGTTCTGTAATTCCTACATATGTGGAGTTCCTTGGCTTGAAAAACTTGTTGGAGGCAGCAGAAAAGTTAACAATCCTAGTGAAAGCTGAAGGTTTGGGGCAGAGCTGAGTCTGCACGGATGCCTGGCCGATGAAGCCATGAAACCAGGTAAAATGTGTACACTCCAATGGGCCAGGGAGCACCAGCAAGATCAAGAAGCCTGAGTCCTGAGTGTGGGGCGGGAGGGATGGCTCAGTGACTAAGAGCACCGGCTGCTCCTGCAGAGGACCTGGGTTCAATTTCTGGCATCCGCATGGTGCCTCACAGTAACTCCAATTCCAGGAGACCCCAGGCCCTCATCTGATGACTTCCACAGGCACCAGGCACACTCATGGGGCACTTACACGTATGCAGGCAAAACACTCTTACCCATACAACAAGTCTAAAGGAAAAGACAAAAAAGCCCCTGAATGTCCATGCTGCCTCAGGTCCCTGCAACCACACAGCCACAGGTCACACACACACACACACACACACACACACACCCGTCTCCACTTACCTGGCCCTTTCGAAAGCGGTCCTGAGGCCAGTCTGTGAGGCAGTGCCAGGATCCCTGAAGTAGCACAGGTGCTTTGAGGGGTATGACTTCCTGTGACATACCGGCTCTTCCCTTACCCATATGAGGCTTCTTGACAAAAGGAAGAAGAAGAAAGAAAAGAAAAAAAAAAAAAGCCCTGAGTGACTCATTTCCCCAAACTCAAAGGTAGCGTGGCATGGTTTCTTCTGTGGGAAGAAAGAAAAATTAAGAGCTGGGGGCCGGGGTGCATGCCTGTAATCCTGCTCTCTGGAGGGAGAGGCAGGAGAGGGAGGAGCCCAAGGTTATCCTTGGTTATATAGCACATTTAAGGCTAACCTGGGCTACATGTGACCATGCCTCAACAAAGAAGGAAAAGGAGGGAGGGAGAGAGGGAGGATAAAAAGAAAAACTTTTAAAGCTTTTTAATTTGTAAAAATGTATTTGTGGTGGGTTAGGGAGGTAGAGGATTGGCATAGTGTGATCACGGCCCTGGGTTCGATCCCCAGTACCACACAGAGTCAGCTGTTTAAAAAAATAATATTTAAAAAAAAACAACATTTTGGGGATTGGAGCTTCAGCTCAGTGGTGGAGCATTGGCCTAACAAGTACAAGGCCTGGATTCAGTCCTCAGCTCTGGGAGGGCTGAGGATGGACAACAAAACAAAACATTAAGTTTTCCTCTTAACTGATCACATCATAGAAAGGGTCGTTCGTTCTTTTTTTTGTTTTTGTTTTTTTTCTGGTTTTTCCAGACAGGAGTAGTCCTGGCTGTCCTAGAACTAGCTCACTCTGTTAACCAGACTGGCCTGGAACTCACAGAGATCCTCCTGCCTCTGCCTCCTGAGTGCTGGGATTAAAAGCATGCACCACCACCCCCTGGCATTCCTTACATTTTTGGTGAGTGGCCTGTTGGTTAGTCCCCTCTTGCAAACAAAGAAGGCAGGCAGGTTGCACTTGAAAAGCAGAGACAGGTGGATCTCCGTGAATTCGACGCCAGCCTCCATCTATGTAGCAAGTTCCAGTGCCAGTGTTGTTCAAATCTCAGATGGCCTTTAATATAATTAAAAAAACAAAAAAACAAAACCCAGAGCCAGATATCAGGGTAAAAGCTGACAGATCAGAGAAGCAGAGCAGCCAGCCACTAGTTCTTTTGTTTTGTTTTGTTTTTTCGAGACAGGGTTTCTCTGTAGCTTTGGTACCTTTCCTGGAACTCACTGTGTAGGCCAAGCTGGCCTCAAACTCACAGAGATCTGCCTGGCTCTGCCTCCCAAGTGCTGGGATTAAAGGCATGAGTTGCCACCACCCAGCTCAGCCCCTACTTCTTACCTCTACGAAATCCTCAGCCTAAAGAGAGTGAGTTCCTGTTTCCTCATGCCTTATATAACTTTCTCTGCCCTGCCATATTACTTCCTGGGATTAAAGGTGTGTGTGCTTCCCAAACAAAGACATGAGATTTCAAGTGCTGGGACTAAAGGTGTGTGCCACCACTGTCTAGGCTCTGTGTCTAATCTAGTGGCTGTCCTCTGATTCTCAGGCAAGTTTATTAGGGTACACAATATATCACCACATTCCAGGACAGCCAGGTCTACATAGAGAGACCATGTTTCAAAAAATTATAAATAGGGCTGGAGAGATAGCTTAGAGGTTAAGAAGAGGTTAAGAGCACCACCTGCTCTTCCAGAGGTCCTGAGTTCAATTCCCAGCATCCATATGGTGGCTCACAACCATCAGTAATGAGATCTGGCTCCCTCTTCTGTATATGTAATCAATAAATAAATCTTTAAAAAATTATAAATATATCTTTTTTAATGCTAGACAGGCACTCAACTGTGCGAGGCTCTCCAAATGACTTGGCTTCCATTCCCAGATACTTTCCAGATCTGCCAAGGCCAGAGCAAGAAGAGGGAAGAGACTCAAGAAAAGAGACACTCGCATGTAGGGCAGGACAAAGTTGGTCTCACAGTGTCTGTCTGACCCGGAAGGTGACTTTGTAGGCCTCTTTAATTCAATAAGGAGGCTGGCTGTCCTGGATAAGGGGGTCAAATTGTAGTGGTGACTCCAGTTCCAGAGTCTCTGATGCCCCCTCCTGGCCTCTGTGAGCATGAACATGGAGGCAAAATATCCATCCATGTAAAAAAATAGAA